AAGGAATTTAGAGGAATTTGACGGAATTTGGAATTTTTTTTAAAATCTTTAATATTTTTATAGGATATTTAAGGAATTTTAAGAATATTTTAAAAATTTTAAAAAATTAAAGAAATTTTAAGGAATTATTACGAACAAATATCACCATTTTTTCTTAATATAAAATATTATTAAAAAAAAAATACTAAATATTTGGATACCTTTATTTTAAAATTAAAATACCCCTATCTAAAAAGAATTTCCTGACCCCTTTTTAAAAAAGGTATTTCTAAGGATCTTAGAAATTGGATGAAATTGGATGTATATTCGGGTATGAATTTGTTGGCAAGACATTTTATTGCAAATTCAATTTTTAATATTTTTATGTATTTTAAAATCTGAGGCCCTATATACAAAGAATAAATCACTCTAAAATTCCTGTATAATATTACATAATGAAATGGAACCCCAATAAAAAAATATATTATATAAAAATTATAATTATTAATTATATTATAATTATTAATTAAATAATTAGAAAAATTACTTCATGTCGAATGATACCCACCATGACATTTATAGATTTTTTTATTTGCAAATCTTCTGGTATTCTATCTGATATATTTTCTAGTATTTTATTTGGTATTTTATTTGGTATATTTTTTGGCATATATTTTGGCATATCTTCTGGTATATTTTCTGATATTCTATCTGATAAATTTTCTGATATTCTATCTGATATATTTTTTGGCATTCTATCTGGCATTCTATCTGGCATATCTTCTGGTATATATTTTGGTATATCTTCTGATATATTTTTTGGTATTTTATCTGGTATATCTTTTGAAATTTTATCTGACATATTTTCTGGTATTTTATCTGGCATATCTTCTGGTATTTTATCTGGCCGTTTAGGTCCGGGCGGTGCCCACTGCAACCTGGAAGTCGCGGTTGAGGTCCGGCAGTGCCCATTGCGATCTGGAGCTCGCGGTGGAGGTCCGGCAGTGCCCACTGGGATCTGGAGCTCGCGATGGAGGTCCGGCAGTGCCCACTGGGATCTGGAGTTCGCGGTGGGGGTCCGGCTGTACCCACTGGGATCTGGATTGCGAGGAGGAGGATGAGGAGGAGATGGAGAAAGAGGCGGAGGAGGAGGAGAACAATCCTGATAAAATCTAACAACCCTTATCTGGCAGGTGGGGAATTAAAAAAAATGGATTTTAATTGATTTTTAAATCAATAATTTAATTAATATTCGGGATATAGAAAAATAATTTAATTATATGAAGAAATAGAATTTTACGAAAAAACAAAAATAAGGAACAATTCTATTTGCAAAAAAAGAAATTAATACAAAATAAAAAATTAAATATTATATATATTATTATTTGAAATAATTAATATATTTAATTTAAAATTTTTATTAATTAATTTATTTTTATTTTTTCCTTACCTTATATTATATTAAATTATATTAAATTATATTAAATTATATTAAATTATATTAAATTATATTAAATTATATTATATTATATTATATTATATTCTATGATATTATATTATATTATATTAATATTATATTAA